GTTTATTTCTTTACATCTATTGCTGMATTCCTGGCTGGAGGCCACAGAAACTTCCCATTCCTGAGTGCAGAAAGACCCTGCACAATTTCCATGCCAGCAGCACAGTGCTTTTAGGCTGTTCCACTCTGCATAAATGATATTTAACAAGAACACACACTGTTCTTTTCAGATTTAGCAGATAAAGAAAGTCAGACATTTGCATGTTTAGTTTAAACTCTCTAAAGCAGTGATGAGTGAAGACAGAAATGAGCTGGAGGAGAAAACTCTTTATTTTTCTGTTCTGGCCCAAAGCTCTGGTGTGTTTCTGGTCTGTGCCCTGGGCACAACTCTCCTCACCTGCCCTGGCTCTGCAGCAAAGGGTCATTATTTCTCTGCTGTTCCAAGCAAGGATGGTTCCTGCTGTGCCAGGGGAGGGGAGAAGCTAATGGATGTRAAGGCAGAGCAGGTTTGCCTGGAGCTTGGTGCAAATGTTGGAGCACACGCAGAAATCCATACCTGAAAGGCATTATTTGAAATGCAATGAGGAATTTTGTCTTTACTGCATTCAGCAACACAACTTAAAAAAGGGAAATTTTCCACCTTTTTTACTGTTACTGTTTTGTAATATACGTCCAGCCTTGGATGCAAGGTCAGAGTCTCTCCTCCAAAACAAGGAAATTCATAAGTAGAGGACGAATCAAATTTCTTCAGCCAAGTATGTTCCAATCTGTGTTCAAAGGAAGGCTTAAATGTTTTAACCAGTGTCTGGCTGACACAAGAAACAATGGTTTTTCAATGGTTTTTGTCACACGTGGGACATTTCTATAATTTCTGACCTTATGTAGTGATGTTTCTTAAACTGGCAGAAACCTTTCCTTTGCAAAACCTCATGGTAAAATGTAATTTTTCAAGTGAGATGAGACTGGTGAGAGTGTCAGTGTYAATCCTGCTTCTGCCAGCTAAACTCAGTGATTTTGGGTCTGTGGCACCTGAAGTTTCCCAATAAAAACATAAGTATTAAAATACAGTAATATTACAGTGGAGACACATGGATGATAGAATATATTCCTCAGTTTCATGGTTCTGTGCTTATTTTTTCAATTCACCTGCAGGTCTGGCATTAATTGCCATTTAATGTATTTGAGCAAAACAGAGCAGATCAAGGGAAAAAAAAAACAAAAAAAAAAACCCAAAAATACCTGGACAAAAAATTAAAATATATCCACCCATTCTAACATTCTACACCTGTTATAAATAATCAGGGTAATCTCACMGTGGGAAGGGTTTGCATCAGCAGCCTGATGTCCCGAGGTGGTGGCCTCCAGGATGTTAATTGTCCTGTTAATAACCACAACAGAGCCTTTCACACCCAGGAACGCCCTGAGCAGGGCAGAACAGCTGATGGCTCCGGGGTGAGCTCCTGTAMAGAACCCACAATATCAAAATTGTTSACCTCCACCTCAGAGMACCTTTTTTTCTTCTCCCACTGTGACATGGCTTTGTTCTTACTCGACTTAGAGGCCTCCCTGGGATTGTCATTAAAAAAACCATTCATAATCACTCAGTGCTTTCAGCTTCAAAAAAAATCCATTGGAATTAGATTCAGTCTTAATTTCTTACGTATTTTATGTTTTTGTGATATGTTGTATTCATTTTTTTAAATTCAGAACCACAGAAAAATTTTTTATGTTCAGAACCACCACATTTTCTTCAATTCAGAAACACAATATTTTCTTCAATTCAGAATAATTTTGCCCTGGGCGAGTGAGATAGTGCTGAGCACCAGCTAAAACTGGAATTCATTGGAGTTTTCCACAACCACCAGATTTAGGATCTACCCAATGATRTCGTGATTCTCATCCTGGTTTTAGCCTGAAGCCCTAGTCTAAAGGCTGGCCAGGGCTGGGCTGGGCACAGCAGCTACAAGAAGTGTCAGGAGCTGAGGAAAGCAGAACATTTTTTATGGAGTCAACCTCGCCACCAAAGCCATTTTCTCTCTGACCTGGCCTTACTCTCCTCCTGCACATAAAGTATGGATCATGAGTTTTACACTCTTTGACGCTCTGAAAGTCAAAAGCCTGGTGTATTAAAAAATCTCTGACAGCAGGCAGATATTGCAGCCCGAGTTATGAGCAAAGAAAGAGTTCTCAGCTCACATTAAATTTTCTTTATGGTGGTTTTTTACTGTCCCACACTAAATTTTCTTTATGTCTGTGCTTCACCAGTTTATTTCCTCGTGAACACGGGCTCTGCAGTGGATCTCACTGCGCCAGGTTTGTGAGTTTGGCTCCAGCCCTCGGGTGTGTTCTGTGTGTCCTCCCTTTGTGAGAACCACAGGAGAGGTGACAGAGRAAGTGGGACAATGCTGAACAGCCAGAGGCAGATTTTTACTCTATTAGAATTTTTTTTTTAAATCATTTTTCTCTTCAGAGAGAGGTGAGAGCTGAATACTCTACGTTTGCAGCACAGGCTATAAAATAATTACTTTTTACATCCAACACTACTGGGAATTTTAAGATCTAGATAAAAACATTTAAAACCTCTATGGAAAGCAGCTCCTAGATAGAAAGAGCTAASTTTTTGTGTGGCTCCCCAAGAACCAAAATCCATCAGCATTTGTGTTCTTGGTCTGAGGTATGTTGGCTTTTAAGTCCAAGACAGGGGAAAAAAACAAGCAACCCTTTGAAAACTCTTCAGAATAACTCAAACAAACCCATGAGYTTCGTATAAACAAATTCTTCCAAACTGTCAAAACAATCTTTTTTTTAATTTGTTCATTTGGTCTTCAGCTGGATGTAAGGAATGGGGAATCCAGAGCTGAAACCAACAGGAAACCAACTTCATGCTCTCAAGAGCAGGAAAAATCAGATTTAGCCTAATAATGTCATATTTGTTTCCTCTGTGCATGTTGCTGTTACATTCATATATACAAAAAAAAATTCCAAATATCCCCTGTGTGATAATCTTGTCTACTCTCTGTTGAAAAACTGATTTTATAGGACACAGTCTTTTTGGGTCCCTAAAACAAAACAAAAACCTTTGGAAAAGCCAACAGTGGGTTGACAAGAGTAAGTCATGACAGACTGATGTAATTTTTCTTATGGCAKGTTTTTGCAGACCCAGAGAAATTGTCCTTGAAAGATGCAGGTGAAGTTAAAAGTCAAAAAATTATCCCAAATTGACAACCCAAAAGGAAAGTGCTAAAAATTATAGGAGTAGCAAGGCTAAGGAGAGCAAGGGAAGACAACAGTCTCCAATTTTTGATAAAGTCTGTAGAAATATCAAGGAACAACCTGCCCTAGGACAGATCAGTCCAGTTTGTATGATTTTAATTTTTAGAAGYRAGAAACTCTGCTGATGTTGKGRTTGTGGGGTACTTTGGGCTGGAGGRACAYGGTTTTGAGGTTCATTTTAGGGAGATTGACACCTGCTGACAGCTGAGTGATCATCCCTGACAGGCAGGGAAATTGAGATGGAGTCCCTGTCAAAACGAGGGGTTTACCAGTTTTCATGGAATTTTGGGAATCCAGAATGGAAAATTTTGCCATGGGGTGTATGAACCTGCCAGCATAAAACTGTGCCCTACAACACATTAAACAGCAAACCCTACTGCTGCCCCCTGTTTACACTGGCTGCTAGAAAACCTTTCAGTTTTGGCTAAAACTCAAGAAAAGCCCGTTTCTTTACCCTGGCTGTAAAAAGACCTCTTTTTTTTTTTTTTTTTTTTGTTTTCCATATGGATCGACACAAATTTGTGTTATTTTGTTCTACGTGTCAATACTCTCAAAACTGCTAATTGCGTGTGGTGCTGGCTTAATTAACACCCATAAATCACCACTAGAGTTATGTTTTCTGAGGTTATTTCCTCACCTTGTTGTCTTGAGTAAATGTTACAGCTCCTTGCACTGACAGTGTGTGTGAAGTGATTGAGCACTGGTGCTGAATTTTAGGGGTTACCTGCATGAAAGGCACTGAAACACAAATGACACAAAAACATTCCCCAAAAATCAGAGCAGTTGGGGAAGACTTGTACATTTTCTCACTTGAATGAGAAGTCCATGGAAATACAGATGTTCCTTTGGGGAGCATAGATAACACATCCAGCTCTCATGTTCTGGTTTGGTAGAAATCCCAATTTCTGTTACAATTTTCATTTCCTAGGCTGCGGTTGTTTGGTCACAGGTGCACACATCCCTCCTGTTTCACCAGCAGATTTGTTCACTGCTCAGCTGATGTGTCTCAGGTTCTTCCTCTCTCTTTTGGAGGCAATGGGGTCCTTCCTTGGGGGCAGAACCCATTCCAGAAATCCATGGTTTTGGGAGAGGAGCCACACCATCAACCCTTAGGTTGGAAATTAATATTCCCACTTAGGCTCCACACAGGGCTCAGCTGCTTCCTCAGGGCAGGGAATGGAATCACTGAGGTCAAACTAAATCTCCTCATCCCCATCTTCCCACAAAGTAACCAGATTTTAACTTCCCGGGGCTGGAAGTTTTTATCTCCCTACGTTTTTTGAGCTGAATTTGTTAGCGTTTGGGAGCGAGTGTTTTGTCTAGCACAGGACTGGAGTCAGGAGTTGAGGCTCAGTCTGTACTCTGGGAATGGCAGCAAGCCTCGGGACAGCTTTTGTCCACTCGGGAACAGATGGGATGGATTATAATTTGATGGGTTTGTAAGGTCCAGGGCTGAGGGAGACGCCCTGTAATTAAATAAAACTCAGCACTGCCGAAGTGTGAGAAAGGGGAGAGGAAGAGTCAGATTTAAYGATGAATTTCAGCGAGGTTTGACAGGGAGATGAAGAAAATAAAGAATTAACAGAACTGCAAGGTAACRTGAGGCTGCACAAAGCACATACCCAGTCGATTTTCCTCAGCAAAATCACCCCTGGCCACCCCYGACTGCAGGGTGAAATTAATGCTAATCACTTGCAGGCTTGTACTGCAGATGAACTCCAACAAAAAAAAAAWAAAAATCTGCTTCTATGCAGTCTGCTCAAACATAGCCCAGAGCTGATWTTACAGTTTAGTGCATATTTATGTTATAAAAACATTATGTCCCAAACTGTCAAACTCAGATTTGCAACACATTTACATTTACATATTTATCTATGCATGGATAGACCCTTTCAAAAAGTGATTTTGGAGACCTTAAGGAATCAGATCCKTTTAAGTGGTTCTCAATTTTTGCTCAGTTTTTAGAAGTGTGTCTTGATATTTCCTAATTGTAGGAGTTCTTTTTCATGTATATGCAAATCAGACAAATGTGCTGGACAAGGATTCTGTTGTCTGAGGAAATGTAGTTYTGAAAAAATAATAAGTATTAAATTTTGAATGAAGTAATAAAGCTTCGACCCCTATGACATTTCCTAAATTTTTATTGTACCCAACCATATTTCTTTCAATTAGCACTGCAGAAGAATGCATTTTTTTTTTACAAAGATATGATGAAGGAAAAGCAAAGATCCAGAAAAAAATATGAAACATCATCAGAGTCTTGTTTATTAAGTTAAATTTAACACACATTGTGTTACATTGCATTCATACTCTGCAGTTCAGAGCATCACATAACAGAAAAGCCCCTTAACAAAGGATTTACAAAAGGAAAGAACTAAAGCAGACTCTCYAAGTTAATTGATGAAGGAGAGCAAAATATTGTTTATTATTACCMTGCCAAGTTTACATTTGCATGCTTTATTTTCTTGGACCCAGTCACTGAGATGTAGTAATAGCAAAGACTTTGTTTAACAAAAATAACACTTGGAAGGCAGAAGGGTGAGGGAGAGAAGAGGAAGCAAGGGGACTTTAAGAAACTGATAGAATAGACAAAGAAATGGGTTAGAATGTTCTGAAAGAAGATTGGCTTCATCACATGGTGACAGCCTTGTTTGACCACAGGGTAATTCCTCTGTCCTGAGAAATTACCTAAAAAAGATTACCTAAAAAAATAATAATAATCCTAAAAAAAAAATTAAAAAATGAAATTGTTATAGACAGGAGGATTCACTAACAGAAAAAAAAAACAGTAAAAGAAAAATTCACACCAGAGCAATTTGGCTCATCTCATGTGTGATCTTGTCTTCAGTCCCCCTGAGTCCTACAGCACTTAGCTCTGCAGAGATGTCTGAGGRTAAACATTCTGAGCTGGATCTTCTCTAATACCATTTTATTTCATCTTATTATGGGGCTGGGCTAAAGCCAGCTGTGAAATTGAGGTCTAGGCTAAGTTTCTAAGCCCTGCCAAAGATTAGGGTGGTCTGATCCAAACCTTTGTTTCAAGCCTGTCTTTTCTCTTTTATCAAAGCCACGTGGGGAGGTGGCTCTTCAGTGCTTTCTGAAACGTCTTTTATGCTCCAGGAAACAATGCCTGAGTTCAGATCTTTGTCATAAAACAAGCAGGGAGGGAAAAATCTGTAAAATTAGAGCAGTGGGTGTGATTAGATGTAGCTTTTGAGGTTGTTTTTGAATGTCCACAAGTTTCCCAACCCCACTCAGGTGTCCTTTGTCACAAGGTGTCTCTGCCATCCGTGACTGCATTGTCAGCGATGAGCACAGACAGGGTTTGGGGACAGACAGGCTGTGTCCCATCCCCTGGAGGGGACAGGCAGCATTTGGCAGCTCCACGCTCCTTGAGCAGTGTTTCTTTCCCAGAAGGAGACAGCAATTCTTTCAGAAGTTGTCAGGGTGCAGAGGGAAGGTGGTGTCACACGTGGATCCCCACCAGGGCTGTGCCAGGGGCTCACCATCTGCCCAGGGGGACACCTGTCCCCTGCCAGGACCTGTCCCTCCCTGGGACGTGGCAAAATGCCCAAAAACAGATGGGAAGCAGCAGAAAAGTCTCCCATGCAGCTTCCCAGGTTGCATTTCCCCGTAGCATTCCTGCTTTGAGACATCAGGATATGGAAATTGTGCATCCTTCCAGATTAGCCTTGAAATGTTGCTGTTAAGGCAGATATTCCCATTCCTGGGATAATATGAAAAAAAAAAAAATTAAAATTTTTAAGCAGTAAAAGAAACCAAAAAGAAACCCCAAACCCCCAAAAAATACTAAATAAATGACAAATAAAAAATAAATAATATAAATAAATTATAAATATAGATACTGAATAAATAACAAATAAATAATATAAATATAAATGAATTTTTAGATATGCTAAACAAATAACAAACATATAATATATATAAATAAATAATAAATTATAAATAATTAATAAATATTTATAGAAATAAAGTATGTATATGAATAAATTATATATACTAAATAAATACTAAATAATTTTAATTGCCTATATAAATAAATAAATCTTATATAAATACTAAATAAATAACAAATAAATAAGTCAATAAATAATATATGTAAATACCGAATAAATAACAAATAAATAAATAAATAAATAAATAAACAAATAAATAAACAAATAAATAATGTATATAAATGAATTTTATGTATATACTAAATTAATAACAAATTAATATCTATAAAGAACTTAATAGTAAACAATAAATATTGTATAATAATAATTTATATCTATARATAAATGTAAAAATAATAAAAATATAAATAAGTAAATTATATGTATAAATACTAAATAAATAACAAATAAATCATATATATAAATAAGTAATAAATATGAAAATGTCTAAAAAAAGTCTATAAAATAAAGGGCAAACATCATGAGGCTTCACTCTTACCCTTCTCTGTCCCCCTTGCCCCTGTCCAGGTGTGGTGTTCCCTTACTCACCTCGTCTGGGCCGCTACAACCTCAACTTCCACGAAGCGCGGCGGGCGTGCGCCGAGCAGGACGCGGTGGTGGCCTCCTTCGACCAACTCTACGACGCCTGGAGGTCRGGGCTGGACTGGTGCAACGCGGGCTGGCTGAGCGATGGCTCGGTGCAGTACCCCATCACCAAACCCCGCGAGCCCTGCGGAGGCAAGAACACCGTGCCCGGAGTCAGGAATTACGGCTTCTGGGACAAGGAGAAGAGCCACTACGACGTCTTCTGCTTCACCTCCAACTTCAACGGTGAGTGTAACCGCCCACGCAGGAAAGACGACACGAGAGGCAGGTCCAGGTTCTTTTTTATTAATCTTCGGATTCCAGCTCTCTCTTACTAGCAACTAGCACGCTTTATATATTCTTTTCTTATCTCCCGCACATAGAATCACACCAATCACACATGTCTCAGCCACATCACATGGCCAGGTACCCTCCAATGTCCATGCACCATTGTCTTGGTTTGAAAGACAGGTGTTTTGCCAATAAAGGCAGGGACCCCCCGCTTGGAGTGGGGGATATGACCCCCCTTCCCTCTAACTTATTATAACTTTGAAAAAAATCACAGGCTTCCAGGCAAGAATATGGGGGAAAAGGGAATAACAGTTTATTTAATATGTATAACAAAGTGAAAATAAGTAATAACAACAATAGCAACAACCAGCCCAGCCCCAAACCCAGTGACAGCCTCACACTGATTCCCCAGTGACTGCAGGAGCGCTGTGGCGCAGGTCCCGGCTGGTTCAGATCTCCCACGTGGCCAAGGAGGGCCACAAAACTGGCAGAGATGGATGGGGAAAAAAAAAAAAGTTCCTCTGCAAACTCACAGCGGATACGCCGATCTCGGTGCTCCTTTGACCAACGCAGCAGAAATCTAAGGCAATCTTACCTGCCCCAGGCAAGGCACCGGGGCAGAAGATCACCGTGCAGCAAAACAGGAACCAAAGGGCAGTCGAGCTCTGCTCCACAGGTAGCAGGCCAACTCCCCTCTGAGCCAAGCAGGGCAATATATATAGTTACCCGCCACCACCACACTCACACTCACCCCTCCCAGTACTTAGCAAGATCGTTTGGGTGGGGTGTAGGTCCTATTGTCTTTACTAATCGCCCTGCCATCAAAGGATGACCTGGCAATCAGTGTATCCCAGCAACAAAATGGGAAAGAAAAATTCCCAAGAAAGAAAACAAAAGAAGATCCCATAAGCCACAACAACCATGTTCCTTTCTATAATTGCTGGGTCAGCTTCATTTGTCCAACCCCGTTCATCTCCATGGCTGGCTGCGTCACCTAGTCTGTGCCTTACTATGTCATTTAGCTCATGYGCATACTAYTCATTAGTCCTGCCCATACTAAATCYGAGCYCAGCCCCCAYAMAYAGCTGTAAGATARCGAGGGCCACRGCAGGTGAGAGGTGTTTGATGTCTCACAGCTCGGTGTTAGGCTTGGAAAACGTTAGGAATGAAATAATCGAAGAAAAAGGGTTGAAATCATTCTGGAGTTTGCAAGGGCACAGACGCAAAGTCATTGGCACSTGCTGCTTTTTACAACTCAAGGCTTGCGCTGGCAGGAGTTTCTAAAATCTGCACTTTCACCCCATTAAAATTTATATACACCCTTTTAATGCTGGTGTGTAACCGGTTTAATTCGGTTAGTGCAGTGAAGAAACCTGCAGTTCGTTAATTGAGTTTTGCTGTTGGATTCAATTATTATTCTGTTCATACTGCATAAATACATCAAAACAAAATTCTCACCATCGCTTCACCGTTCTGCAGTTCTGAGCAGCTCCTGCTCAGGTGCCACGTCTAATATGACCAACATTTCCTTATCAGGAGACCTATTCCTAGCTTTATTCCTTAATAATTTAGATTTTTAATCTTAGTACACTGCCAAGCCCCAATCACTTCTGTTCTAAGGCTGARCTGCTCTAAACCTTATTTTAGCAACTGCAAGCTTTTTTTGTTATTACTTGATATTACTTTAGGTATGAAATCAAATTAAATGGCTCAATCTCAGCCTGCTATCATGTCAGGGTTTATCTAGTGGCTGAAATGGATTTAGAAAGCATTGCTGTGGATGTCCACTACTCTACAGTCCTCTACTTGTGGATAATTCCTGCACAAATTCGCACATGTTTGGCTTGCAGCCCRCTCAGACCATGGAACTTGGCCTTTTTTTTATTTATGCACAGATAGCTTATCCACAGTGAAGCAGTGTTGTCCTGCAGCACAGCTGTTGTCCTGCAGCACAGCAGAAAAATAAACACAAGCCTTGGTTCTAGAAGATGTG